TTTACATACATATGTATGTATGTATATACATATATATAGACAGACAGACATACATACATACATAGATACATATCCGTTGAAGATCAGCTGAAGAACGACACCGCAGCATTTGGCTCCTTTCGGCATCAGGATAGGGGCCTCCATGTCCAGAGATGCATGAACTCCCCGTATCTTGGGCTTAGGGTTTAGGGTTTAGGGTTTAGTGCCGCGCTGTTTTTTCTCCACGGCCAACGCGCGGAATCCTCGCATCTCATGCAACCCTCAATGGGGTGTGGGTGCTGCTTTCGGTCGGTAGGCATACTTCTCCGGCCTTCATCGGATTCATCTGGCTTCATCTTGTAACCCAAGCTCTCGACACTCTGTAGGCCTTAGAGGTCTAAACACTAAGAACAAGGTTTCTGAGTATATTCTAGTACACTTGACTAAACTCTATATCTTATGTGTTTCTAACACCTATAACACCCGAAAACCTCAAGTGCTTCAGGTGGCCCAACTGGTCAGCATAGAAGTCCCCCTCGCAGGGCCGACCTTGTGCAAGGGAAACCCTCAGCGGGCATGAGAGGGCTTAGGGCTTAGGGTTTAGGCTCTTGATTCTTGATGTTGCTACTCACAGCGTTCGCGTCATTGCTGGTAGTACCCTGGCCACGTAGCACGAAGAAACCTTCCTTTCGAGTTTCCTTGCTACACACTGCGCCGGTTGACAGAGCACTGTTGACCTCAGTACCAGCAATGGCGCTGCTTTTAGCCACCAGCGAGGAGGGATAGCAAGTTCGACTCTTGACACCAACCGCACCAAAAAAACAAAAAACAAAAAAAACAACGATCGGTGCGAAATGCCCGATGCGTCCCGGCGAATCCCAAACGCCTCTTCGTTTCTGGGGTCGTTTTTCGAGCTCTGTTTGGGTCCGTCCAAAAGCAACACCCGACCTGACTACATCATCCGGGCTGACATACTGTACCTATAGTCTCCATTGTAGTTCCTTTTTTTGGTTTAACCAATTATATATTAAGGATTTCATAAGGTATCCCCAAAAAGGAACTACAATGGAGACTATAGGTAGTACTACAGTGCAGAAACCTAGAGGCCCTCACACCAAACTTTAAACCCAAGACAAGCCCTAAGCTGACCTAAAACCCGGTCCAAAACCCTGATTCCCACGCTGAGCCCCCTTCCTCGCGGCACCTCAGGCGCTGGGAGCCGGGGCAGGAGCCGGACTGCCTGCCTGGCTCATATCCAGCGATCGCCGCGGCCATTCGGAGTTCGCTTTCTTACGGCGACGGTTCTAGTTCTAGCGGTAAGTTCGTGAAGTACAGGTCCTTACCTAGAGATCACAACGCCCAAGCCTCAAGCCCTGCACCGAAGCAGCGTGGTGGGTGGATCGTGAGTAGTACCCTGCAGGGCCCTTCGGGTCGTGAGTTAAGATTTCGCGCATGGTTTGAAGGGGGGTTAGGGCTTAGGGGTTTTGGGGTCTGAGGGTTTAGGGTTGTTGGGTGCTGAAATCAGGCTCCTGCCCCAAACCAACGGGGCTCACCAGTCTCATAACGAAAAGCTGCAGTCGCATCACACCTGCTATCCGTACATAGAAACTACTTAGGCGACTCGAGATCAGCAGGACAAACCCCGCAGCAGGGATCCCGCAATCTACTCGAAACACAAGACTTCCACACCGCACCGCATCGCTGCTGCTGGCCTGAACGTTGACGAACCTGCAAAGCAGTACTGTCATGGAGGTCATGCTGACGATCACTGTCATTGCCACATTCCTCGCCAGGATCACCATCATCATCATCGGCGGTAGCAGTGGTGTCATCCTCCTCGTCGCCATCATGGGAATGGGCGACGACAGCAGCAACAGCACATGCACTTCCACTGCCAACACACACAAAAGCAGCGGCCGCAGCAGCAACAACTGACAAGAACAAGCACAGCATCGCCATCACAGTCACATCCTCATTACAGTCCGCTCCCTCACCAAGCGCCGCTCACCCTCAGTATCATTAGCAAAACTCTCAGTAGCCATCAACGGTGCTGCGACGCTTTGCTCCGATGTGTATCCTTCTTCAGTAATACTTTTGGTAGGGGTGCAGGGCGGCGCTGGTGACCGCCAGGCGACTTCGTCATTCCTTTCATGGTCATCATCACTGGTAGTTGTGCTATGTCATGATCAACATCATCATCACCACCACCACTGGCATCACCAGCATCATGAGGATGATTTTGCCGATAACGGTCTTTCTTTCACTTATCATCATCATCCTCATCATCATCATCATGCTCATCCTTATCCTCATGCCCATCATCATCATCATCATCATCATCCTCATCATCATCGTCATCCTCATCATCATCATCATCCTCATCATCATCCTCATCATCATCCTCATCATCATCCTCATCATCATCCTCATCCTCATCCTTATCCTCATCCTCCTCATCCTCCTCATCCTCATCCTTATCCTCATCCTCCCCATCCTCCTCATCCTCATCATCCTCATCCTCATCATCCTCATCCTCATCATCCTCATCCTCATCATCCTCATCATCCTCATCATCCTCATCATCATTATTCTCATCCTCCTCATCCTCATCCTCATCATCCTCATCATCATTGACATCCGAAGCATGACAGTAACCGCGGTAGAAACACGAGCGCGGTGGTAGTCCTCGTCATCGTCTGTAGCAAGAACAAAACTGCCATGATCTTCCTCGTCATCATCACCTATGTAAAGCCAATGGCCATAGATGCCGTCGTTTCCATCCGCAGCAGCGTTGTCATCATCATTCGAATCATAGTCCTCATTTCATCTTCATCTTCATCATCACCATCGCTGCAAACCCCTTTTTCGGCACATAACGAAAACGAAGATGCACAAGCGGCGGAAATCGGCTGAAGCTAACTCCCCCAGCCACACTCTGTCTCAAGCTTTGGGGACAACTCTGTCGAGCTGGGTAATCACTACTGAACTGACACTTGTGGTCCAAAGATGGAGCCAAGAGCACAACAGTTTGCACAAGTATCCTACATCTCTCGCCGTAGCCATATCGCCTATACGTTTCTGTCCATGGCGACAAGCAAAAAGCCTGATTGTTTTGCTTTCTGCTCCCTTTGCTCATCCTCCGCATTGCCAGCTTTGAGCCTAGGACATCTGGAAAGTTCTGAGCAGTCGCTTGTTGCGACATGCTCCACTTGGCGCCGTGTCCTGCCTCAGCGCAGGTCACGTGCGGAATGGGCAGCTTGCTTCCAGACTTCCAGGTACGTGATTACAGATGAGAGCCAGCAGAATCTCAACGCTTGTCAGGGTGCTCACAACTACGACCCCAACTTCAGGCTCTAAAGAGGTCCACATTGCTGAGCAGCAGGCATTTGCACCAGCGTTTTACGACCCTGACCGGGCGAGATGCGTGTAAGGATGTGCAAAAACTAGTCATGGAACCGGGGGGGATTGCGTGCAGGGCTCAAGATCCAGCCGTTCAGCGATCAAACGGTCTGCTGCATGCTCAGCCCAGGCCTGCCTCCCAACAAAAACCGGCATCCCATGCCAAGTCCTTCAAGCAGGAACTTAACAAGCCTTCCAACCTCATAAGCCCTAAACGAGCCTCGTAGCCAGGAGGACCTCTTGCTTTCATGGACAGCGTCCGGAAGGCCTCGGCCTAGCATGCAGAGCTGGCTGGATCTGCACTATATTCAGGCGACGAAGCATCATGCATCATAGTATTAATAATCATAAGCATAATCTCAATGATGCTACTACTGCTACTACTGCTACTGCTGCTACTACTGCTACTACTGCTACTACTGCTACTACTACCACTACTGTACTATTCTTCACTACTACTACTACTACTACTACTACTACTACTACTACCACCACTATTGCTGCTACTACTATCTCTACTACTACTACTACTACTACTACTACTACTACTACTAGTACTTCTACTAGTACTTCTACGAGTACTTCTACTAGAAATTCTGCTAGTACTACGACCAGCCAGCACCAACCAATAATCAGAATCAGCATGATAACCAAAACCGCATACAAATAACAAGAAGAGTCAGTATACTAACAGCAATAACAATACTAGTCATCATCGCTGACATAATCAAGATGAGAATCACCAACAATCAAAGTCGTAGTCGTAATCAACACAAGCATACTCATAAATAACACGACCATAGCAGTCATATTACTACTGATAATCATGTATACCGCCTTATTCATAACAACCATAAGGATCATAAGACACATAACTCTAACACGAATTACATTTATAGCAACACGGTTAGTATTCATACCTATAACAACCCTGTTCAAACCGTCGTCTCCGTGTAGATGGTCGAGAGCCACATCGCGCTAGAACATGGCATCAAATGCTTTAAAGCCAGGGCACACGCACGGCGAACACAGAGAACCGGAGATACCAAGTCACTTCGGTTTGTGCTTAAAGGTATTTTGTCTCTATGTCTAGATATATATGTAAATAAAAGGATACGGTATCTATCTATATGTATAGATGCATATATATATATATACACATACAAATAGATAATTAAATATAAATATAAATATAAATAAATAAATATATATATATATATGTATATGCATGCATACACGCATGTACTGTACATAAACCCTTCACGAAACGCTAAACCCTAACCTAACCCCCAAAGCTCTAAACCAGGCTCGGGCCGGACGAACAAGCAGGAAAGGGGAAGCGACAGCCCGCAAGATCCTGTGCTCAGACTGGCGTTTGGATAAAATTCATTCGATACTTGGAGGTTCATGGGTAGTTATAAGTGGGGTTATAAGTAGGGTAACTATACTTATAACCCATATTAGGGGACTTAAAACCCCACTTATAACTACCCATGAACCTCCAAGTAATGGAGCTACAGCTACAACACATACTAATATAAGATATAACAGAGAAATTAGGAATACGTATACATATTTATATACACACACACCCTCTCGTGAATATTTATGATGGAACAGAGCAAAACATAATGAAACAACGAAACACATGTAATACGATACATGTAGAAGTACATATCAAACCTGTAATGAACCATCACAACCTAATCTCACAGACCATGCGCTCAACACAAAATAATCTAACCAAAAACAGTGGAACGGAACCTGATATAACACAAACATATTGCAATGTGATGTGTCACCATAAATTATCATATGGTTCAACCATGCAACACAATGTAACATAGCAAAAAATAACAGAACACAGCACAACATGACATAACATGACGCAACGAAACATGCATAAGACAACAGAGTAAGATCCAATCTCTTAAATATCGCGTGATGCCACATAACATATTGTAGTATTACAAAAAGACAATATAGACATATTATGACATTGTAGTACCATATCACATTGTATTCTACAGTAAGGCACAACATAACATATTGTATTCTCGTAGAATACAACGAACGTGATACCATTCAACATAACACAATATGACATAGCATATATAGTAAAGTACAATATAATGTGGTGCAATTTTAACCAAATGCAGGAGGTTGCAACAGAACATAAAGCAAGTTATAATCCAAGACGTTACAATTTACAATACTCTAGTGTAGCGTAGTAATACAGTATGCCCTAAACCCTAAACCGAGGTAATATGCTTGTTCAAGACCATGAGTCTTGTCGCGTCGGGCCTTCGTCCCTGTGGTGTTGCTCAACTCCTCGGCCGGCAAGAGAACCCAGACCAGGGTTTAGAGGACCCAGACTGGAGATGTAGAGCGATATATGGATAGCTCTCTAAATGAGGGTCCCTTATGATTATGGTCCCCCCCAAATTCTACGGCATCCTTATTTACAGGACACAGGGATCCTAATTCAGGGAACTACCCATATACAGGGTAATGAATCTTGGACAAATGTGCTGCTTGATACACTCAGCCGAAAACAACAGGCATCACAAAGAACAAATTATCACTGCATCGATCATGCCACTTATCTTCTCGGCAGGCATCGAGGACGGAAGCCCGAAGCCAAATCTTCTCTGATCAGGCCCTTTGTCATAATTACATGGCCTTGAAGCTTTGACTCATTTAGATCTTGCAGGCAATAGAGGCAGCCAAGAAAGACACTGGCGCACAACTGCTGCATCAGAGAAGAAACAGACCGCACAGCCTCACAGCAGCGACGTCCGTAACGAGCATCAGCCCTTCTGACATCAACCGGAGCGCTGCAGGCACTGTACACGCGCCCACGAAAAAATAACCCACTTGACAACCGAACGCCGCACCTGTGCCCTGATCCCTTTATGATCCTCGACACTGATCTCGAATCCCATCCTTTGCCTAAGAAAGTTGTCATTAGGTCAGAGCCATGCCCTTGCAAACGCAGCTCTGCTAACGGGCATCGTGCATGGCGGAAGCTTCATACATCATTCATGCAAAAGCAGAGCCTATGAAGCCTCGAAACTCGTGGTACGGTATGTGGCGGTCACGGGCCGAGTTCTGCCCTGCTGCTATAAGCATAACCGTTCCTATTCCCAACCGGATCACCTAGGGGCCTTCATAATTAGAATGGGGTTCCTGGGTATATTATACCACCATTCTAATAAGGTGCTCCCAAAATAATATAGGTATTTAGTCTCTCCGTGCTCTCGCTGTTCGGTCCTGCAGGTGCTTCTGACCGATGACCGTTTCAGAAGTAATACTGTCAGCCTTGTACCGCCTTATAATAATTGGAATAGGGTTTTGGGGGTTCCTTATTGTAGTTATAGTATAATAGACACACATAGACCCCGAAACCCTAGCATCTCCAAACCCGAAAGCCCCAGGCACCCCACCAAGCCGGACCATGTGCTTCCCTTCACTAGCCGATGGATGACCAAAAGCCAAACTAAGCTGAACAGTACTGAACTCTCCAAACTTGTCATACTGACAGTCATAATAACACGATAACGAAGAATCAATGATGGCAACCATCAGTAAATGCTGAAAACACCGGTGATTGTCAAAGTCGTCATCCTATTTCAGCAATATATTGCAATCTACGATAGTACGTTGGATTCCATTATATAGAGTCAGTTCGTTCATGACTGCACAACGCTCAAGACCTGCAGGGTACCCGGGCCGCGAAGCGGAGGGGACCCAAGCGTTGGAGATGGCCCGGTTTGGCTCCCTGGTCTTCTCTGGCTGAACGCTGTCAGTAGTGGTAGTGGGTAGTGGTGGTGAGTGGTAATGGTGGTGGTTGTGGAGGAAAGTGGCAGCAGTAGCTGCATCATCAGCACAGCTGATGCTGCATCTGGTATGCTGCATCGTGACCGACGAGAAGAGTGCAGTTTGTACGACGCTGCGCGCAAACTCCTTGCGATTTCTGTCATTCCTTTCACCCGACGTCTCAAAAGCCACCATCAGGCGATTCACTGCAGAACAGAGCCTCTTCCCAGAACAGCCGCATCTGCAAATCTTCCACGACGTCCTGTTCTGGCACACAACAAGCTCAGAAAGTATTATCACAGTGCCCGTTGACACCGTTGTCGTGTCGCACCTCCCCCGATGCAATCAAGTCCTCGAACTCTTCAGGCTTCTTGAAGCCTGGCTTTGACATGCCGCGCTGGTATGTAACTGGGAGGTGTTCTCTGCAGCTTGAGCTGCACCAATCCCTCAAATAGAAACAACCCTGTCGAAGAAAGCATCGAGTAGTGCAACAGAGCATCACGTCAGTCGAAGGACTGAGAACATCAACAGGTAATGGTGCTTTTACTTCAGAGAGTGCACCAGGCTGTCTACAGTCTACAGTGCAAGCACCTGGGCCTTGCAGATCGCTGTCGGGCTGTTGGGGCTGAGATTGAACGGTAAAGCCGAGCAGCAGGTCAACCGGCCATTATGACCGGGGCCAGTCGGAGGTGGCAATCCGTTGCGTCATCCAGAATGGCATTCAAGATCATTCAAGTCTAGGGATAGCTCCTGTAGCTGTTCTACCAGCACGGTCAGTGCTTGCACATCGGAAGGTGCACAAACTGGACTCGGAGTCAACGGTAATGTTCGTTTGCCATCGTCATCACCGACAACAGCATCATCCCTTCCTCTTTATCATCATCAACCTGTGTCCTCAGCATTATCGTCATGAGCAGCAGCAGCATCATCTCACCACCACCAGCGCCAGCGCCAGCGCCAGCGCCAGCGCCAGCACCAGCACCAGAAACAGCACCAGCACCAGCACCAGCACCAGCACCAGCACCAGCACCAGCACCAGCACCAGCACCAGCACCAGCACCAGCACCAGCACCAGCATCATCACCAGCATCATCATCATCATCATCAGCAGCATCATCATCGTCATCGCTTTCGTCTTCCTGCTCATCACCACTGTCATCAGCATCACCATCATCGTCATGGCCAGTCAAGGTCACCCGTGCTGCTTCTGCAACTGCTATATACTGCCACAACGACCACCATCATGACGACGGACGGCGACGACGACTACCACTCGCCGCTGCACCACTGCTGCGAGAACTCTCATGTAATGTATGTACGCCAGGGGTCTGCAGCTTACATACATCCGCAAGTCGCACGTATGAACCTAGGACCAGAATGCCCAACTCCAGGCCAAGCGGAAACCCAAATCAAGTGCAATCCTTTCATACCGTGAGTCCTTCAATTCACCTGTCATTTCATGTTACGATCGGCTCTGAATATACTGTAGGGGCCTTTATAATTAGAATAGGGTTGGGGGTATATTATACCATAACTATAATAACGAACCCCACCAAAACCCGATTCTAATTATTAAGGCCCCCATACTAGACCAAAACCTCCCTGGCGAGCCTCTACCTCGAAGTGCTCGTGCCTCCTCTGCTGCCCAGGTTCCGGCCCCAACGGCCCGGGCGCAAAGGAGGACAGCCTTAGGCTTGAGGGTTGAGGATGAGTTTTCTGAGATCTTCTCCATGTGGGATGAGGCCATCTATTGCGTGACTTGTGGCTTGGAGGTTGAGGGCGTTTTCAGGTCGGATGGTGCCCCAGGGCACAATCTCCACGTGTCATGTAACCGGCACGCAGAATGTAGGTGTCGGCAGGTCGTGTCCGTGGCCAGGGTTTGCACTGTCCTGTCGCGCGGGTAAGAGTATGAGTAAGAAGCCGTACTCATTACATTGTTTCGAGCAGGGTTACTGATGAGTTATATTGTCTTTCAAGTACGGAGTTTCCGTAGATGTTGCAGAATCTCCGACTTGAGGTCGGCAGGGTCGACTCGCCGTCTCAAGGAGTAGAGCTACCTTAAGCTACCAAAACCTACCTTTTTTGTAGGGTCCCTATACATTCTATAGTAGGGTTTATAATAAGGACCTACAAAAAAGTAGGTTACGGTAGCTCAAGGTACAAGCTACAAGGCAGGTCCAGGGATGCGGCCTCGATGCGACCGCCCAACCACGCATCTCGGTCTGGGCTGGCGTCCTCCTGGTGAGTTCTATGAACTTCCACTAACCTTGCCCGGAAGCTCCGTGAACTGACTTATACCGAACACAAACGTTGCTCCGGCTTGTAGATTACGGGGTTGGTCTTGCCTCCGGGTGCCGCGAGACCGCCGGCAGGAGCAACGAGTTGTCACCAAGGAGGATCAGACGTACATCCTCGACCTCGATCCGATTGTGCAAGAATGTCGGGTTCGTAGCAGCTGGAAGTCCGCTGCGAAAAAGACATCTTTAGCCTGTAATCATCAGGCGGGTAATTTGTTGACCTGCCAAAAGTTCTGGTAAGAAACCAAGAATGCAGAGCCAAAGGCAAGGAAAACGCAAGAACATGTCGAAGTGAAACCTCTGCATGCTGACAGTTCAAAACGATGCTGGTGCAACCTACCCCTTCATCTGCGCCAATCTGGCGCTTACAATTTTCGGAAAACCTGTAACTGCTGCAAAGCTAGGCAGCCTTCGTTTGACTCACGGGGAAGTTCGTGGGCCAAGGACATATGATTTGCCAAGGCTCCGCAACTTCAACCCATATTCTGGGTCATGCGTGGGCATGGACTTTACTGTTTCTCGTTGCTCTTTGGAGGTAGTTTTCGCGCTCATGTTAATGGTACCACATAAACGATGTCACAGTCACATATAGGCACACACACACACATAGGTATGTATAAACAGACACATGTACATATATATATATATATAGAGAGAGAGAGAGAGCCTCATATTAATATATATATACACACATAGAAACATGTTATATATATATATATATCTATATGTATATATATATATATGTATAGATAATTGTATGTACATTACATATCCGCAGTTTCCTGAAGCTTCGACTTCCACCAGGTCCCCCCGCACCAGCTTTCTCCAGTGAGGCTGCAAGAGCGGTAGCCAGGGGACCTCGGCACAAGTCTTGCATCCACTTCGAAAAGAAAGCTGCGTCTACATAGGAGCCTGCGCAGGCATAGATGTGGCAGTGCCTGCGATTGTAACTAACGGTTTGTTACATGGAGGGCGAGACCTTGCAATTCCGTAGAGAATCCGTCGGCACACGGTCGCGCGCTGTCCCAAGCTGGCGACCTTGCAACTAGTTCTCCCTTTCCCTGAACGTCGAAGCGCGACCGCCCCTTCGAGTTGGTCTGAGACTCTGGCAAGTAAACGACCAACCGACGACAGCCAACGGCTCGCCCTCCTCGTTGGCCGGCTGGTCGGAGGAAGGGGTAGGCAGCTGTCCCACAACGCTGTCTATGGGAGATAAGCATGCATCAAAAGAGGAAAAACATCTTGATGCGAAGAGACACGCACACGCAGCAACCTGTGCATAGTATGTATGTATGTATGTATGCATGCATGTATACACATATATATATATACATCGATTCTCTGGTTTGGTCTGATCCAATGGCTTTGGGATGCGATTGCGGTTTACTGCCCTTCATCACATCTAGGAAACTGGGGCCTTTCACGCTATTCACGGGTGAAGCGGGGCCTTTACCAAAGACCCTGGATCCTAGGGTCTTGCGGAGCCCAGGGTATAGCTTAAAAACGGGTGGTGGCATGTGCGCATCGCTTCAAAGGTGGCTAGTAGTTAGGTTAGATGGAAAGACAGATAGATAGACAGACAGACAGAGACAGACAAAGAGACACAGACAGACAGAGAGACAGACAGCCCGAGAGACACAGACAGACAAGAGAAAGAGACAGCCAGAGACAGACAGAGACCAAGACAGACAGACAGACAGCCAGCCAGCCAGCCAGCCAGCCAGCCAGGCAGGCAGGCAGACAGACAGACACAGAGATAGACAGACAGGTGGATACCCACACATACAGATAAACAGATAGATAAAGAGAGATAGATATGGATCAGGTAGATAGATAGATAGATAGATAGATAGATCGGCAGTAGGTAGATAGCTAGATATATAAAAAGATAGGTAGATAGATAGATGGATAGACAGATAGATAGATAGATAGACAGAGACAGAGAGAGAGAGAGAGAGAACAAACAACAACAAGAGACAGAGCTAGATAGCTAGCTTCATAGATTCCAGCTAGCCAAGATGGGCTTTGATCCGCAGCGGAGAGGTCCGACGACCATCTCTTTGAATACATCGGAGATTTCAGCCGCCGGCCAGCTGGTCTCTGAAGATTTGCCGATGCGCGTTGACCTGCAGAGGCGGCCCCGAAGTCACCCAGAAATGTGCTTTGTTCCACCAGGGTGTTCTGGTATACTGCAGGGGCCTCAATAATTAGAATAGGGTTTTGGGGCCCTTCATACGATCATTCGAATGAGGAACGCCCAAAATAGTAGAGGTAATTATTAAGTCCCCTATATTACTTGTAGGAACCCTGAGGAGTAGTTGTCGTTAGCTTCTCTTGCTACTGGTGGCGAACCTGGAAAATTTGAGGGGTAGGTTGCATTCCCTGACTGGGGTGATTGCGGTTCAAGACAGCAGATCCAAGCTGGAAGCCTTGAATCAGACTGCCTGTCGGAGCAACACGGCTGCTTCACAAAACCAGTCTGTCCAACGTCTGCATCTACACACTTGTGAAAATCATGCCATCGTCTTGCCCAGAAATTTCACTGGCCACGAAACATCCAGCCCATCAAAAAGCACGGGGATGAATCTCAGGGCCCAGCCCGGCGTGTGTACAAGTTCACCAGCTCGGAAGATGTCTTGCACTTGTAGGCCTCCTGCATCCAAGGCTCTGGACGAAGGAGTGGCTCGCCGTTCCACGCCCTACTAGCGTAGGGGCCTTAATGATTAGAATGGGTTTTTGGGGGCTCCGTATTATAATTCCAGTATAATATGCCCCAAACCCAATTCTAATTTATTCAGGCCCCTACATTACGCCTGGAGGGTATCATCCCATTTTAGACCCCCCCCCAAAACCGGGAGGGCGTAAGTCGGACTTGGGACAAAGCATGAGGTGCCCTTCTGCTGTCTTTGAAGGGCCTGTCACCTTTTGGTACTCCGAATGTCTACGGAACTGAACTCGGCTCATCTAAGCTCGCCACCACCCTAAGTCCCCAGCCCACCCAGAACCTGAAGCTGAAGTTCACGGATCACCCCTAAACCCTAAGCAAAACCCGAGCGTCCTCGTCGAAGAGCAGCGCGCAAACGCTGCAGGGAGCCAGAGCCGCTGCGAGATCCTGACGGCCTCTGGCCACCTGAACCGGACACCGAAGCAGGGCTGTTGAACGGATTAGGGTTTAGGGCTCTACAAGAAAAGGAGGGGGAGATATGGGTGGCAAGGATTTTTGTTGGGATTCAACCGGCCCGATGCTCCTTCCACATTTTCGGGTGGAGGTTTGGCAGTAGCCCACGGTGGACAGTTTACCTGAAAAAGGCCAAGCTGAGGCGATGGAGTTTCAGATCCATCTTGCAACTCCTCTCTCGAAACTCAAAGCATGCCACCTGCCCGAAAAGCATGGGCCCCTCGTGTCAGAATGTTGATGCTGTGACAAGACAACAAAACCCTCCTTGCACAGAGCTGCGAGAATCCAGAGCCATTGAGGCAAAGATCCCACTCGGTTTACTGCCGACTCTACCCGGGTTGATGCGGAGTGAACAACAGGCCCAACAATGGCTCCCGCCCCAACCGACGCCCCATCAGCCTCAGCGGAAGCCCGAAATCCCCTCAGTGCATTAAACTCCTACATGCCCTGAATTACTCTCGAATCACCCCAAAACCCTAAACTCTAAGCCCTACCTCCTGGGGACCAACCAGCTCCTCTGCTTCCGGCGGATGCGCTTCCCTGGGCGCTTCCAGGCTTAGGGTTGAAAGTCAGGAAACCACTTCTGCAGCGTTCACTCTGAAGCCAAGTCACTTCTAAACATGACACAAGTCATGTCGACCACACCCCCAATGCCAAAAACACCCCTCTACATACTCTGTATTCTCGAACACGAGCACCCTGAACGGTGATCTACAGGCCTTGCAACCCAAGCTCCAAACGCTGAACTGAACCGCCAGTCACGAATAGTCATGCTCATGTTGCCAATAAGCACAGCCCTTGCTGCTACTCTTTACAAACAAACATGTGGCAACCGAAACTGCCAAGTAATCAGGATAATCGTCAATACTAGATTATTCTTGCCATGAACTTTCTTTCAACCCTAAACCTGTCGTTGTTGCCATGAGCCCTTTAAAAAGCCCTAAACCTGTACGCCCTGAACCCCGAACCCCAAAATTTCAGCAATTACTCAGGGGGTCCAGGGCCCTGGCACCAAGAAGACCCTCGGTCCTGCGCCCTGCCGCAGCACTTGCACCCCACGCACCTCGGAAAAGGGTTTAGGGGGAAAACATGTTCAGTGCACCTTACGAGCTTTTCATAAATGTTTTAGGGCTTTTGTTGACTTAAGTTCCGGAGTCGGCGGGAGCCTCCAAACCGAAGTATCTTATATATCACACTATGCTACCCTTTTTGTATGTATATACTTATACATACTTATACATATACATATATATATATACACCAATAATATATATATATATATACATATACACACACGCACACATTTTTTGTTTACGTTGTAACTTCGAAATCCTGAACCGGAAGCCCTGGCCCGAGTCTGACAAGCTTTGGGCCTCTGGGGATTGGAATCCCTGTGGAGTCTGAGTAACTGGAACAGGCTTTTGGGGATCTTCTGGAGGATCTTTTGCGGATTTTTTGGGGTACACGATACTATGCGATTGCTATCCCAACTACCTGCATGACTCCTGCATGCCCAGCGTGTTTATCGCGGATCTCTGGTGCTCTAGGCATCCGGCAAAGGGCGCGGATGCCGGCTTCGGGGGCGCGGGTACCTCCCGAGTGCTGTCTGAGCCACGACCCCAACTTGTTGGGGTTTGGGCCATTCTGCTGCAACGGTTTTAACAACATAAGTTTTATGTTTGTTTAAAAGCCTATGCATTTGGTCAAGGCTTCTGCTACTGCGTGCAGATGTTCGCGGAGTGGGGGAGCCTGACTGGGTGCGAGTCCTTCAACGCCGAATCTCTGCGCACCACAAAGGCCATCGTCAACTATCAACTTGACATGAACCCTTCAAGCGAGAACAAGCAAACCTCTAGGTGGTCTCAGGGCCTATGCGCCACGCGATCCAAATCGAAGCTGTTGCACACGAGGGAACGCTTCGAATAAGCAAAACATCTGTAGTCAGCGAGCTGCTTGTCGCACCAGGTGGGATCTTGACTGCGGACCTCAAAAACCCTATGAAATATGTATGTACATAAATATATTTAGATGCATGCACATATATTTTTGTATTTTTATGTGCACATAGATATACACATCTGTATATCTTTATAAACATATGAACAAATATATATATATATATATATATATATATATGTGTGTGTGTGTGTACATATGTATATATATATATATAGATGTGCATATATATATATATCTACATACCGATTCGTCTGTCTATCGATCTATCTAGATTTGTTTCTATATCTATATCTGTATCTATATCTAGATCTATACCTATATCTTTATGCATCTATATCTATCCAACCATCTATCCATCTATCTATCTGTATATCTATCTATTATCTATCTATCTATCTATCTATCTATCTATCTATCTAGTCTAACCTATCTATTCTACTTTTATGTATAACCTTGTATAGCTGTGTATATCTACATATGTGTATACTTGCGCATACGTACACACACACACACATACATA